ATTGTGAAAAAACTCACAATAAACCAGCCTTTTATTTCCTCCTTTCCCAGACATTGTGCCCACTGACAAGGAGGAGGTGGCCTTCAAAGACCTGGATGTGGCCATCCTGGTGGGCTCAATGCCCAGGAAGGAGGGGATGGAGAGGAAGGACCTTCTAAAAGCTAACGTGAACATTTTCAAGAGCCAAGGGGCCGCCTTGGATAAGTATGCTAAGAAGACCGTCAAGGTAACATTTATTTCTCTTGTGTTGCTTCTTTAACATTTTCCGTACAGTTACAGATTTGTGCCTTGACATGAGAAGTTACCAGGGTTATATGTAGCTGGGTCCATTTTCAGGTGCTGGTTGTGGGAAATCCTGCGAACACCAACTGCCTGATAGCAGCCAAGTCCGCTCCCTCCATCCCTAAAGAAAACTTCTCCTGCCTCACACGTCTGGACCACAATCGGGCTCGCTCCCAGGTCCCTCACCTTTTCAAGGGACTTTAGTTTCTGTTTGCTTACCAACTCTGTGATGAAATCTGAGCTCTCATCCTCTCACACGCTGCAGGTGGCAATCCGCTGCAGTGTTCCAGCCACTCAAGTGACGAATGTCATTATCTGGGGCAACCACTCGTCTACCCAGTACCCAGATGTGCACCACTGCAAGGTCAACATGTCTGGCAGCGAGCTCGCCTGCTTTGACGCGGTCAAGGACGATGCTTGGCTCAAAGGAGATTTTATAGCTGTGAGTCGATGTCTTCTCTGTCAGGGCCAAACCTGGACCTTTTGATATGTTCACGTGATGGCAAGGAATGGAGCACCCTTTGCGCTTATTGCAATGGGCAGGGGTTTGCTGACCCTAATAAGTTAGAAATTGGCTACAAGAAGTAAAACTTTCATAATTTCGGGGTTCAATCTTCAAAGGGTCACTCAAGTTTTAGACGTCATTAAGAATTGTTTTTGATTTAATTAAGAAGTCCATGTTCTCTTTTTACAGACTGTTCAACAAAGAGGTGCTGCAGTCATCAAGGCGAGAAAACTGTCCAGCGCCATGTCTGCAGCAAAAGCCATCTGTGACCACATGAGGGACATCTGGGTTGGTACCCCAGAGGTAAGTTTCCCAATACTACTTTTTTTTCTCTTGTTGTTGTCATAATGCTATCATTTTATTCTCCTATCATTTTTACTTTATTCTCATACAGATTTATTCTCGTAATATGCCTCGATTCTCATATTATTTTTACTTAATACTGGTAATATTAAAGGGTAATAAGATAATACTTTATTGATCCCTGAAGGAGGAATTGTTAATTAACAATGACAGTCTTAAGGACACACATATCACTCTTTATATTGCTAAATATATATTCAACATTTAAATCGCACAGCTCTAGAGACTTTATTTATTTACTTTATTCCCATCATTTTATTTTTTCATTGTGGCCCTAATACTCCGACATAGCAGTGTGGTGCCCCCATAAGTAGCATTTCTGGATTTAAAAGCCTATATTACCAATACCCCACATATTTGTAATTGTTCCTAGCATAATTTTGTTATCAGTTCTCAGAGATTGTTGTTAATCTAATTAATCTTAACTTTCTAAGAATATTTTCTGTCATATATCAACACTGGCTACATGCAAAAGTATGGATGATTCTTCCTATATCCATGTTCTGTGTTGTTGCATTGCTTATACTTTGTTGTGGTGTTGCCAATTTGAGACCAACCAACTTGTGGAGTGTAGAGCATTAATAAACATTTGCATTAGACAGAAAATGGATATTGATAATTGAAATTGGTGTATATACCTGATTGTTTAAGCTGTGCCTCGAAAACAATTGTCTGTCTACTAAGTTACCTGACTGTTCCATGTTGACTTGAGCACCTTCCCCTGAAAATGTCTGTGCAAGCTTCTGATTATTCTTTATTTTTAATGATTGTTAGTTTGAATTTTGATGCCTCAGTTTGACCCACTTTGTCTTTTCTACAGGGTGAATTCACCTCTATGGGGATCTACTCCACTGGAAACTCCTATGCAGTCCCAGAAGACCTCATCTACTCGTTCCCTGTCCAGATAAAGGTGGCTCTGACGTGACCTCGCTTTCACATTTCATCAAGCTCACTGAGGATTATTTTGTTATAAGAGTGCTGTTTTTGTTTTGTTTTTATCTAATTAGGATAAGACCTGGAAGATTGTGGAGGGCCTGGCGATCAATGACTTTTCTCGGTCCAAGATGGACGCCACCGCAGCAGAGCTTATAGAAGAGAGGGATACAGCTGTGGCTTTCCTGGGAGTATGACTGCACTGCCGACCCCTCCAGCATGTAGACCCAAAACTCCAGAGGCACGCCTGTGACGCAGGACTCCATAAGCCCCTTCGCTGCTCTCTGCAGATATACATGTTCACATGAAAAAGAATGTCAGGGTTTGAGCATGTAGATGGATTTATATATGTCCACTGCCAGACTTTTTTTTTTTTTTTATCTAGAGAAATAATGAATAAGAGTTTACTTTGATCAGAAAAGCAGCAGATTGGCTGCTTATCAGATCGGTTCATCTTAACCTTTAAAAAAAGCTTCTTATCAGACTTTGTTCTCTGGAGGCGAGTGGATGGATGGATGACTCTTTACATATTGTCAGTGATTCACTTAAGTCATGAAACACTGTATCTGGTGACTCGACGTTAAAAATAAATAAAAAAAATGTGTATAAAATAATATGGCTCCTTTTCTTTTTAATACCTTTTTGGTATTTGGTTCTGAGTGACTCAACATACCAGCTTTGCAATGTTTCATGAGGTTTGATTGACTTGCACTACGATGGTTAATTCAATGTTATCATGTGAATTACCATTGCATTGTATCATAATAGAAATATCAACTGTTGAGATAATATTCATAAGGGGGAATCCACCTTTTGCTCTTGGTGACTTCCAAAAAAGCATCTACTGTATTTGAAGGCCTCAACTGTTGCTTCAGGTTTATTAAGTTTATTATAGATGTCCAACCAAACAAGCTGTCTTTTAAAGTCCCTGTTAGTAAGAAGCCATAGTTGTTTCATAAAGCATAATCATAAACCGTTTTTAATACGAAGTCTGCATGTCCAAGAATTTTCCTCAGTGCAAACAGCTTTGTGGATGTGACATGTCTGGCTATTTAGCTTTTTTTTAATCTATATTTTAGTTGTTAATATAAAAATGACATTTTAATATTTCAACAGGGGTTTTATTTTTTGTTTTACTGGTCTTTTTCCAGAGGCCTGTCAGAAGTGAAATGACACAGCTTTACCAGAAGGGGGCAGTATTTCCTCATTTCAGCTGCATCAGAATTCATAAATGTATCATTATTAGTACAATTAACTAGAAAATGTCATTGCTGATAAAGACAAGCTTTAAAGGTACAAAATCCACCATGAAAATGTGCCACTCCAAATTCAATGCTTCATGTTTCACGGCATAAATATCCTCAGATGGTTTGGCATAAGAGTAACAACACACATACACAAAGATCGGTGAAAGAAGCTTTCTTTTGGCTTCGTGTATGTTTATAACTGTGTATAAAGTTTCTACGAGCTTTAACACAACACAGTAAAAACAAATCTGATCGTTAACGAGTCAGGATATTGAGCCGGTTGGTACAAAATGTAGCGCCAGTAAAACACTTTCACTGGTCGATGTGATTGAAGATTTTATCGACAGGTTAATAAGAAGGATGCAGTGAGAATGACATGCTTACATACGTTTACCAGTAAAACCGAAATCTTGGCTGCCTTAATTATACAAAATGCGAAGAGCCGTTTGGTAGTCGAAGAATCCGGTTCTTCCTGCTAAGCCAAGTGGTTCGGATCCAGAAAAAGCGACATAATTCCCATCATAGACACCCATAAGTAGATGCTGGATCGAAACCAACGCCATATAATAGAGGGCATTTTTGTTAAAACATGCAAAAAGTTGTAAATGCCAGTTCAAAGCTGTATCATTATGTTTTCTGAGGTAATGGGGGAAAAAAATCTATCATTCAGCACTACATGCTACCATGAGTTATATTTCTTGTAGGGTATAAATGGCTATTTTTTAAAAAAAATAATATGATCACACATTTTTTGTACATATTTCTTAACTTTAGAGAAATTCCTATCAGAAACAAACTTCGAGAGAAAAGGAGAGAAACTTCTCAACAATCAGTGGAAAAACCTTTATAGCATTACAGAAGTCAAACACTTGTGAAAAAAAAAATCTTAGAAGTTTCTCTTTGGTGACTACTAGCGCCCTCCACAAAACGGAATAAATGTTTAATTAGACTAAAGTACAATGGGATTAGGTTACTTAAAATTGTTTAAAAGGGAAATATAGTAAGTTTAGGGTGTTTCATGTTGCTCTTGTCATGTGATTTTGCCAGTTCTTACCTCCATAACCTCCTAGTACCAAGGTGAACATACGTTATTGTATATTGTATATTTGTTTAACATTATCAAACAAAGTTCGACGTAAACTTTTTTGTTTTTTTTTTTTTTTTTTTTTTGTTTTAGGAAATCACGTTTTCCAAGACAAACTTGCCACTCACAGTATGGCGGAGTCGCCGACGTATCGTTTCTGCTTGACAACGACGAAACCAATGCTGCGTCTAGTCGTGTACGTCTACGTTTCATCACTGGCGAGAAAAACCATCGAAAATACGTCGCAAAAAACGATTGGTGCCCAAAATTTCATCACAGGAAAGAAGTCCTCTCATTGGTTCCCATTTGCCCTTGCTTGGAACTGAAGTGATTTGTAAAATATCTTAGAACTGTTTACCTTTTTAAGTTTTTCATTATTTACGCTTTAGTTTTTTTCCCTTATAAAGAGGAACTGTAAAGGAAACAGTGACATGGTGTTTTAAGGTAGCCTGGGTTTAAAAAGAATTGAGCGTGTCTTCGCTACCTTCTTTGCTGTGGTCCAGGCCGACCGACACCATTGACTTTCTTCCGCCAGCATCCTACAGTAACACAGTAAGAAAATGGCTTCACACTAAATATTGCTCTCTCGGGTTTGTGCTGAAGACTGTCGTTCAACGGGAGAGACGTTTTTTCATGCTATCATCCAGTTACCTAACCGCTTTGCCAAAAATATTTATCGGAAAAGCGAACGTTTTCTTCCGCGTGATTAGTTGGCCCCTCTGGACCGCATTCCTGGATGACATCCTATCCATCCACCAATCTTTCCCAGTTTCCTTATTCTTTCTATATTAAGGATGCTTTCAACACACACCATCTATCCCATCGGTTAATGATTGACAGTGTCGGTGTAGACGTGGTTTCTGGGCTGAACGGAGCAATAAAAACACACGCAGGGGGCGAGGCAGTGGGGAATAAAACGTGAACAGAGGTGTGAGTTTGGATTCACAGCCAGTATTGGTGACGTGATTTTAGTGGTAACTGGGAATGTCACCAGTAACAGATCCTGCTTTGCTCTGGTTCAAGCGTACTTTTCCGTGTCCGGATTGACTTCTGACTGTCAATAAGATAAGTCTGACTCCTGACAGGATGCCAAGATCCTGGGAATAGTGGGATGATTTAAAAAGCTCCTTCGACTGGATGAATGAAGGACTGAGCGGACGGGCGGCGTTAAGATTACCGCATGGAAACTTTCGGGTTCATTTTACGGGATGCTGTGTTCAATGACCCTTCTTCGCTTGTCACAGTGAATCTCATGGAGTGAGATTTGAAAGTAATCACAGTTTTTAATTGAAACTTGTCGACTGGATTCATAGTACTTTGGCAGCTTAAACATGACACTTTATGTAGAAGGTAAGAAACTATTTTGAAACTATGTAACTAAATGTTACATTGTTTACAAAACAATGTATCAAATTATCTGACAGAATGTCCTAATGCTCCTATTCTAATATCCCTTGTGTGTTTTAAATGCCGTCCAGCTGTTTCTGTTGTTTTATTCTTACTCCAAACATGCAGTTTTATTCCACCTAACAATTTAAATCACAAAGTGCTAAAGTTTTTGTCACATACAGAAGGGTTTTGTCATATCTGCTTACAACTGCTATAGGTTCAGTTTTACTCCTCTTAGATTTCAGTCAGAGCTTCCTTCAGGATAAAGCACAGAGTGCTTGGATTATCGTGACTTTGCCCTTTGTACCTGTCTGTTGTTGGCCACTACTTTTTATGAAGTAAAGTTAGAGTCAACATTCTCTCGTTCATGTTCTAACTTTTCAGGAGCAAAAACTTTGTGAATTCATTTGCTTTTGTTGTCTGATTTCCCAAAGCTTGGGACAATGAGCTACAATCACTGTTGGCTCACTAAAGACCAGAAATGTGTATTTTTTCATAACTGCTACAAAAATGGAAGGTTCTGTTTTTACTATGAAGCTCCTCATTTTGCTAATAAATGATACGTATATGCTTTAAACTAGTCTTAACCTCTAACCACCTACAAGGTTTTCAGACGTCTCTCATTTAGTCTATTTTTGCAGTGCTTTTCAAAAGGCATTTATGCATGACTGCAAAGAGAAAGCCATGCATTTGCATTCAAATTCAAAATAAATAACAATGACCACTGGACATGGCATCTCTGGGTGTATTTTTAGAGAAGAAAAGTGAACCTTAATCCCACTCTGAAGTCTCAAGGATTGCCATCCACTTCAAGGTTTCCAAACTTGCCAAGCCCTGTGGTTTGGTGCTAGGTCAGTCATTCATCCAGCGGTCTGTCGTGTTTTTGAGTTAAACATTTTTTTTTTTTAAGTTGACAAGAAATTTGAAAATATCACTTGATAATTATGTGTTATTGAAAGATTTGAAGATTAACACCTGAACACCAACTATAAGGTCTTAAAAATGCAAACATTTTTAAAAGACTTAAATAAATAAGCAATGCTTAGCCTGGTGGGGGCACAAGTAAAGCCTGGTGGCCCGCCAGGCTTAAAATATACTGGATAAAACCCTGCACCTTCCGCTCAGCTCCAGTCAGTATCCCTACAGCATAATGTAGGGATACTGATTAAAGTTTACACCATGTTTCATTTTATGAAATGGAGCTCCGACAATATTCAGCCAATCCCATCCAGGTGACGTGAGCTGATAGCATTTTTAATGCAGTGGTTGAAGATTGACTTGACTTTGCGAGTTTTTACCTGTCCTATAAAGGAAGCTTCCTTGGTCCTCTGGTCTCATATATATTGCCTGCTAGCCAATAACAGTTAATCAAGTTTCTACAAGGGAGACTTGATTACCAGAGGTTGTTGACTCAGTGTTTTTAACATTCAGGGTGTTCACAGCCAAAGTGAGCTATGCAGAAGGATCCGGTTCTTATGTTGAGGAAAAACCTTTTCCCACTGTCAGCATCCTGACTACAATATTCTTTGTCTTCAAGTTATCAGGGATTTTTTCTTTTTTACCCAACTGATTAAAATATGTTGAGCTAAAGCAGTTCCTTAACCCTTAACTCAGCACAAGCTCGTCCGCCGTTAGTTTGGTGGGACTCTGGTTGGGACTGATGAGAATGTTGAAACACCACATGAACAAAGCGAGGCTGCGGTAGAAACTCTGAACTCTTCGACACACTTCTCACTTCTTGAAATAAATGAGTAAATAAATAGTGAAGTAAATCAGTCCAAAAAATAATCAGCAGGTCTGACCTACACTGTTGATGTTAGTTTTTTTTTTTTTTTAAATTGCAGATGCATCTTTTACTACAAATGATCATGTATACACTAAAGGAATCCTGCATTTTAGGCAAAAAACAAAGTTCATTTTTCTGATTTAAAAAAGAAATTGAATTGTTTATTTGTATCTTTTAGTATATTTATAGTTTTGTATAAAGGAGACTTTAGTGGTCAAGTGAACAATCTGCAGAATGTGTCAGTATTTTTATCTGATTAATTGTCAGCGTAATCAATTAATCAATGTCTAAAATAATCGTTAGTTGCAGCCCTAATGGAAACGGCAGCATTTAAGGTGTCCATCCTTAGTTTTATTTGCTCAAGCTGCCTGTGAGCTTGATGCACATTTTAATGTTCTTTAATGACTAACTACGGTAAGTTGTCAGACTGCATAATGCCGAATGGAATGGAGTGTTTTGTTAATCATTGTGTCTGTTAATTATCTTGATACTCCGTGTTTCCTCCACTGGCAGAGAACTGGGTGAACCTGCGTTTCAGCAGCCAGGCGGTCAGGAGGACTCGTTTTGTGTTTCTAAACCGTCTCTCCTGCGATTCTTTCACCAGTATTTCCTGAACGTTTCAATTGGTACAAGTTTGTTCCTCATTTCAGCTGGTCGTGAACGCAAACAGGATCTAAAATGATGTGCAAAAGTACAACCTATTCTGTTTAGTCATGCAGGTTGAGTTTGTCCTGTTGCCTGATTATTTAGCTCATTACCCAAGTAACAGAAGCTAGCGTCATTAACCGTCTTTCTATGGATCCTTTGGTTCACACCAAATCTAATGTTTCTCTCTTTGTGAAAAAAATAATAATAATGCAAACAAACAAAAAAAAACACTACACTGTTTATTTTTTGCTTGTTTTTCAGACATTTTTCCTTCGTCCTCTACTGTTTTTTCACATTGTTCCCTATTGATTTTTTTTATGCAGCATATTGGATTTTCCAAATAACACATGGATGACTGTGTGAGTTCACACTCATTTAGAAATTAAAAAAGGCCCCGGGATATGAACGCTTCAACCTCTGGAGTTTCAAGTGGTTTAAAAAGAAGTCATAATTTAATCACTCCTCCATCTTTTGCACATTTACTTTACTTGGCTGTCAATTTTATTTGCTTTTTCATTTATTTTTTTTCCTACTTATTCTTTATAACGACACCATCATTTTTATTTTGTGTCATTATTCTATTTGAGGAGTTTTTTTTTTTAGTTTCTTCATGATGAAATCTTTCAGATTTTTATAATTTTATTTGTCATATCCAACAACACACACACACTGCACTCTGTATAAAATGTAACTAAACATCTATGTAAAGAGCTGGTTGCTGCTTTCCCAGCCATAATGTTGCCGTACTGCACTGTTCAAACCTTCTCTAATGCTGCATTACTGCCATGGAGACGAAAAGCACACCTTAAAACCCAGTAGCTCATAGAACCACCTACTAGCAGCAACAGCTTCAAGTAGTAATTTCCTTTATAGCTTTATTAGTCTGTCATAACTTCGCAGTGATATTTTGGTCGACACCTAAGGTCAAGCGCTTGATGATTGTGCAAGGTGTTTATACTGATACGCTGAGTTTTGTTTTAAATGAAGATGTTTTGTATTCTGACCAACTATTTGTCAAACTGGGACTGTCCCAGAGGTCCTCCAACCCTTCCAAACAAGCCATGATTGTTCCGTTTTTTTATAGTTGCAATATAAAGCTTTTATGTTTCTTTTGAGACTCTCTATGAGGTCATTGGTGACGGGTTTCCTGCTGGGAAGTAACACGGCTCCAAACTCACTAACACTCACCAATAATGCAATCAGTTTGCTAGATTGTTTTCACAAAGGTTTTACAAAAACATGGACAAAATAAAAAAATCACTTGATACCAAAGGGGGGAAAAAATCAAAATCACAACAACCCTTCATATTTGAAAGCCGCTCAGATGTTTACCTTGAGGTTTGGATGGTAATGAAATTGGGTAACTGGTAATTATTTTACTACTTCTTGTCAGATGACAAGAAATCTTTCTTCACCCAGTTCTCTGTTTTCATACCAGTTATGATACAAGCCCACTCTGAAAAGGAGGAGTACACCCCGTGTTTGGACGAACGATACTAAACAGAGAAGCCATTGGCTGACCGTTAGTACGGTTGTGGTATGAAGCAATCTTGTGAAGCATTGCATCATATTTCTGTTTCCAGTCAGAGCCGTGCATGCTAAGCTCTTAGTCATTGGTGAACTTGCTCTGATATTTTCTATTTTAGAGAAAAGTCACAGTCTCCCAAAGTGAATTTGGAGGGACAGCGATCTGGTCAACATTTGAAATACTAGGAAACAAATTTATTGGCAGACCAGCTTGTGGCCTTAATTTTGTTTAGGCTTGGTTAGCTTAGCAGTGAGCTGTAGCTCCTTTGCTCCGTTTTGCAACATACCTCCTTCAACAAAAAGCTATTTGAGATTGAAGGAGATTTCTTTAACACTTTGGGAAACACTGAGTAGTGCTCATTAATTGACAGGACAGCTCAGGCTCAAAAGTACTTCCTTTCTTACTCCAAAAACTCCTAAACATGGTTTCATCAACATCACAAGCTTGAGGCACTCTCCTTCATACTTTGTTCGGGCTTATGACAATGATTATGCTTATTTCACCAGACAACGTGACACTCTGACCGCAACTAGAGATCTCTCTGGCGAGAAATATTAGCCATAAGTCCTCATTATCATGAAGAGGTTGAATATCTCACAACAAAAGTTATTTTTCAAGGAAGACCAACAGTGCAACACGAGCAGGCAAAAATCCCCCCATTTCGTCTCACGGACAATTCTGAGCTTAGAAAATGAGGCGAAAGTCTGAAAATCTGAAATGAGACACCATGAATGCCTGCTGCATCGGTGGAAAGAGGAGAACTTTGACCTTTCCTTCTCTTCTGTCTTGTTTGTTCAGGTCTGAGTGAAAGAGTGCCCCACAAAGGCATGGCTCAGTTTCAGGAAATGATGCGGCAGCAGCTGGAGAGCTCCATGGACGCAGAGCTGGAGAAGCTGGTGGACACGGTCACGGGGGCCGACAGAGACGTACGTCAGCACCCCGTCTTCATCCCTCCCCTCTCTGTCTGAGACCATCTGGTTGTGATTTAGAGGGGCGGATGGCAATGCTGGGAAAACTCAAACCTGACGCATACTGGAGCGTCATACCAAGCAGGGTTACACCTACAGGAGTGCAGACACGGTTTATTGGGAAAAATAAACAGCCGCTTAATTTCTTTAATTTATGGGGTTTCACTGAGGCATTTCAGCCAGAGACATGAGAGTTAAGATGAGTCAGATGTTTCGGGTAAAAAGAAAAAAGAAATAAATATTTACAAGCTCAATAAATATCTTCTTTATTGAGCTTATATGTCTATTTACTATTAGACATATTTATAATTTAGCACTAAAACAGGTTTTTGAATTACAATGTGATTGATTGTAATTAGTTTCTTAAAACAGTTCAGTTAATGTGATTAAAATGTCTAATCGAGTTCCTTCACTATTTTAGATATATAAATTCATATCATTGGTTTAATGAGACTGAATTGGGTTTATAGTTTTCTATTCTATATTTACATAGATAAGAACCAGACTGACCTTAGAATGTTTAATTTTTTTTTCACTTAAAAAAAAAAACTTAAATATAAATAGCAATTTTTTTTTTTACATAAAAACCTTTAATCTCAATGTTGTACACTGTGGATATATGTTTAACTCTTTACCCTAACTAGAGTGGGTGCAGCTTAAAAAGAAATCCCCTCCTGACCACAAACACAGTGAATGAAATGAATCTGTAAACCACTCGCTACATTAATGTTTCACTTTCAGGTCTGCATGAAGGACTTTAAGGGCTTCAAGAACCTCTTCCACAGATTCCTGCAGGTAAAGGGCCCGTCTGTGGAATGGATCAAGATAAAACGGCCTCCAGAAGACTCGGTGAGTCCGGCTCCATCTGCTCCTCTCTGGGAAAACAAAAACTGCCAGATTATATTCCCAGGACCCCAGTTTGGAACGTGTCCTTATTAACTTTGTTTATTTTCAAGAAGCTCTCTTGAGCTTTTAAGACCTCTGTGTCTTGTTCTTGGACAGATGGAATGAGTTAGAGCATAAGATAGAAAAGCTGAAAATTATTGAAATACAATGATTCATCTGCGTACTGGAGGTAAATCTCAGGCTCCAGAGATTGTTTGGGATGTTTCTGCTGATGTGCTGCTGTTTTTGCACGGGGAAAAAAAAATCACCTGAGAAGATGCTATTAGCGTTTAGCAAGACTGAAAGGTATTTTTACAGCTGCGGTTATTATCATCTTCCTGTTTCCAGTGCTCAGATCAGTTCAGCTGTGCATTGTTCTGCAGAAAGGGCGTGGACAAATAATCTGGCAATTAAAACATGTTGGGTTATGTGTCACCCTGTAAAATAAATTGATGTCACCCATTAATTGGAAACAGTTTGTACCTTGGTGGAATGTCTCAGGGTTAAGTATGCTGCTATATTACTGTTGGTAATTTGGATTGTTGTATTTCAGGTTGCAGAAACCAAACCTTTGCTTCTTTGTTGTAACTCTATTGAGTTCATGAAAACAACACAACATTCCGGCTGTGTGTGTGTGTGTGCTATATATATATATATATATATATATATATATATATATATATATATATATATAGATCATTTTATCCAGTTGGTTCAGTTCTGAGACAATCATGATGCTTTTCTAAAGACGTTACTATGAGAGCTGCAGGTATTGCAATCAGAAGGTTCTCCTTTATTTAGTCCGTCTCTCTTCTGGACTCAGTCATGGTTTGGGGGATAAAACATTTGTTCTTTTAGAAGCTGCAGGTCTCAATAAACCCATCTATCTCGCGTATCGTGGCTGCATTTCCACCACCCTCTAAATATTTAGCTTTAGAACTATAAAACAATCTTCTTCTGGGAATCTAAAATAACACGGTTTAAAGCTTCCAAACCTCCCCACACAGGACATATTTGAAGTCGAAGCTCTGCGCTCCGCGTCAGGATTCCTGAGCGGTTAGCAGCAGCAGCTGGAAAACAGCCGAGTCAAACGGGAAGCAAGAAATCAGCAAGTTGAAAAATTGACTGTTTGTGAATGTTTGTCTGCAGTGCAAAGAAAGATGTAAAACGCTTTCGGATGTGTGGAGAGTGAATTATTAAAAGCAAAGAGGAGTTTTACAGCTTGGCAGCAAGGTTTATCCCCTGTTGCCTGGGAGTGAGTCTGGCTTGTGATTTGACATGCTCAAATTGTCAGTGTGAACCACATGAGTAGACGCTTAAGAAAAAATGCATTCTCCTTTGATAGAGCCGATGACTGCAAACATTCACCTCCTGCACAAAAGGAAATTCATTCCATGAAGGATCGTCTCTCTTCCTCTGAGGAAATGGTTTTCACCCTGAAAAAAACAAAATGCTTTTCTGCAAACTTCAGCAAAGTTTCATCTTGCTGACATTTGTTCCTGTTTGTTTTTGTATTTCTTTAACTTTACCTGATTTACACGATGGCGTTCCATACAAATTGAAGACAGAAGAAAAAAAAGGAGTCAATTTCCACCAACAACAAATGTTTAGCTTAATCACAGAAAATTTCCAAAAAGAAAATAAAATATCTGACATGTCGATAATTTGGAAGAGAAATACTCAGGAATTTTTAGATTGATGAGAGAAATTTTCTAGGAAAAATCTTTGAAATTTCAAAAGTTGAAAATTTGCTAGAATAAAACTGAGAAATATTTAGATTAATCACAAAGATTTTTCTCGAACAAACTCGGAAATGTCTGAGTTGCCAAAGTCAGACATTTTCCAAAAGTCAAAAACTTTGTTTTTCTGAAAAAATTCTGAGATTTATCTCAAAATTTCTCAGTTTTTTGCAACAGACCCAAAATTCTTAATCATGTGTTCAGTTTGGGCGTATAGTGGCTGCAATACACTGTTAGCACAGATGCAGAGATGCTAGCAGCCACTCAGAGGTTGATCTAACTGGATAACTACTAAGTACTTTCTACGCCTGATGGGACACAAAGCAGAGGTGGTCTGCTGTGTGTTAAGCTCCTCTGCCAGAAATGTCCTGCAATACCGGGTTATATTTGGAGGGTTTTTTTATCAGCATGATAGTTTTTTTTTTTGTTTTGTTTTTTTTTTTTTTGGGGGGGGGGGGGGGGGGGGGGTTTTTTTGTGGTTGAAAAAAAAAAAAAAGGAATTTTTTTCCAATGG